CGATGAAAGCAAGAGTGAGAATGGGTACGTGGAATGTCCGTACAATGTACTAGATTGGGAAGGCTGCCCATGTAACCGAAGAAATGTCAAGAAATGGCTTAGTAGTGCTGAGTATCTGGGAGAGTAGATGAAATGGGCATGGACTCTCAGAATTGTCAACACCACTCAGGTGACACAGATAACAACCACGAGCACACTGAGGGGGTGGGTGGCTGTTATGACATCACCGACGGCAGCCAAAGCCCTAATGTAGTGGGAACCAGTTTCCTCCAGGATTATGACAAGAACATTTTTACAGTCAACTGCAAACAGTAATGGACATCCCAAATGATGAGATCAAAATCCTAAAGAGCAATGTGAATGCCTAACTGCGAGCAGATAATACAGGAAGAGGACTCATGATGTGTCCAGAGGCTCTGGCTCGGTGAAATGAATGAGGACAGCGAACTCTTCACAGACTTTTGCGCTTTCAACGATTTAGTGGTCGCAGGCAGCGTGACAAACAAAAGTATATACTCAAAGCAACATAGATTTTGCCTGACGGACACACCACAAACCAGATAGATTTCATGTCAGCGCTTCTCAGGGAAGATTAGACTCAGCTAACCTGCAGGACACAAGGTCGAGAAGGGGAGTAGGTGCGGGCTCACGTCATCATCTAGTTCAAGAAACTTTCAAGGTGAAGCTGAAATCCTTCAGAACAACTGGAGACGAACCACAATTCAAGTTCAGCATTCAGAAACTGAAGGACAAAACTAAAAGGGATACCTTCACTACAGATCAGATCAGAGCAGAGTCAGATACTCGACGTGGTATCACTGAGGAAACATGTGTGGAAGAACATTAAAACTCTCTGGAGGTGATGTTCAGGGAAACGTGTAAAACTGTCCTTGGAAGGAAGAAGAGACACCACAAAGAATGGCTGTCGACAGATAATTGGAAGCTAATGGAATTGAGTAGAAGAGGATGATGAAAGGGAAGATGACTAAATGCGAGGATGGGCAACATAAGGACAAGCTGATAACAATGTACACTGCTTTGAATAAAGAAGTGAAGAAGAGTGCTAGGAGAGACAAAAGAAAATTCTACGACATACTGGCTGGCGACTGAAGCAGAAGAGACCGCAGGTAAAAGAAACCTCGGAATATCATATCAGATAATCAGGTCACTATCCGGAAAGAGATCAACCCAGATGATGCAACTAATAAAAGATGTTCAATGGAACCTGATTATGAGGGAAAAGAAACAAATAAGACAAAGGGTTGATCACTTTAAAGGGCTCTTGGATTGACCATCACCTGCAACTCACCCAGAAGTACCACCAACAACAACAGCACGCACAGAACTACCTTCCGGTGTACACCAACGCTCCAGCGAAATTAGGAATCTTCAAAGAGATCTAGCTACTGAAGTCCAGTCGAGAAGGCAGTAGGACCAGACGGAATTCCCCCAACCCAAAGCACTGAAAACGGACCCAGAGAGTGCGACAGGTATGTTCTAGCCGTTGTTGCAAAAGGTTTGGAAGGGAGGAAAGGTACCCACTGATTGGAAGAAACGCTGCCTTGACAAGCTGCCAAAGAAGGGCGAATTAGGCCACTGCAAGAACTGGCGTGGAGTAATACTCTTGTCCACGCCAAAAAATACTAAGTCGCATCGTCCTGGAAAGGATAAAGGATGCACTTGATAAAAAACTTCACCCGGAACAAGCTGGATTCAGGAAAGACAAATCATGTGCTGATCAAATTACAACTCTAGCATTGTCGTCGAACAAAGCATAGAATTGCAGTCAAACCTCTACCTCAACTTCATCGACTTTTAAAAGGCCTTCGACAGCGTTGACGGAGAAGTAATCTGGAAACTACTTCAACAATAAGGCGTACAGTGCCCAAGTGTTTGTCGACCTCATTCAACAGCTGGCTATAACAGTGCCACACCTCAGGTGATCCACAACGGAAAACTCGACGAAACGTTCGAAGTGCATACAGCAGTAAGACAATGCTGCCTGACTATTGTCACCGATGATATTCTTAATTGTGGTGGACTGGATTATGCATCAGACTGTTGGGGGCGAGGAGTCAAGAATACGCTGGACGACCGATAGACAAGAAGACTCTAGAAGATCTGGATTTCACGTGTGGATGACATATTTCTAATGTAACACAAACTCGAAAACTTGCAAGCGAAAACCAACAAACTGGCTGAAGAGGTTGGCAGCGAAGACAGGACTCAAGGCGATGATAGAAAATAAAGTGGTGATAAAGATAACTAACCAACCAACCAACCAACAGCAACAACAACCAACATCGAATACCACCAAAAGTAAAGGTTAGGCAGAGGTTACTGCTTTCATTTATCTAGGAGGCATCGTTTCAACTACAGGCAGTGGAACGGATGGAGATGTCAAAGTCAGAATCGGAAAGGCAAGATACGCCTTCATCAGGCTGTCAATATAGTTGAAGAATTAACGATCAATTCACGGTTGTTTACTCAAAACCAACTCCATATTTTGGCGGGAGTCACCGATACTGCAGTGATCGTTCCACCGTACACTGTTCGTTAGAAGACGGAGAAATACAATCAGAAACTTTGTGTATAATAACTTTATGGTTGGTTCCATTTTGATGCAAGAATAAAGGACAGTCAAGTCACCAATCCGTGTTCTGTTTTTTCGCGTCGGTTATTGAACATTGTTACTGAGGGTCTTCTAAAGACAACGTTAAGTCCAGTGTAGTTAGACCTGGACATTGACACAGGCTGAAACCAGTTCGGAAATCTTCCGCACTCGGCATAAGGAACAAGATTCGCATTTTCAACACCAATGTGAAGTCGGGTCAGAAACTTGCACTGCGTGTCACGAAAAGAATTTCCAACAGGTTGTAGACTTTCACTAATAGCCGCCAACTTCGCTGGCTTCACACTGAAGATTTAGTGGCTAGAAAGAATAAGCCACAAGAAACTATGGGGACAAAGCAACCAAGGACTGATTGCTCAACAAATATGTAGGGGAAAGTGGAGATGGATCGGGCAAACGTTTAGGAGACCATTGGACGACATTGAGCGCCTGGCTCCCAAGAGAAACCTCAATGGGGGGCGACCAGTGGATCTTCTGAGGGTGGCATGGAGGAGCTCGCTGGGGCAGGAGGTGATGAAAGATTGTGGGCGATCGTGGACCCAAATGAAGAGGACGGTAGAGAATAGAACAAAGGGGATATATGTTGTTGAAGCCCTATGTTCCACTCGTAACCCAAGGGAATAATAACAAGAATAACCTTGGTAGTTCTTAAAGAATCCACATGAGCAGAAATAGAGTTTTTAAAGCTAGTTTCTATATTTGGCGAGTGAGACATTCTACTGAATAAAAACGTTCTAGAACGAAATTAATAAATTAATCTGAAAAATAACCAGAAACAAAACGGATATACAGACAATAGCCAGTTATAATAAAATATAGGCTAAAATGGAATTAAAAAACGAACCAACTAATAAAGTAACCGACGTTTCTATCAGAATGATTACGAAAATCACGGAACGATGACCTGTAATATTCTTGAAGGCCAATGGTACTTATGAACGTTTTTTTTTATTTGCAGCTTGATTCCACACCGTATTTTCAGTACAAGTGTGGAATTTTCAGCATGGATATCGGTAGCCCAAATTCAGGCCGACCATAGATATCGGGTGTGCGCCGGCAGGGGATCGAACCCCGGACCATGTGCATGGTCGGCGAGAGTCCTAACCACTGTGTCACCGACAGCGCGGCAGAATGCCAGTGGAGCGAGGGATGCCTAGTCAAGCAAACGGAAGGGCATTAATCATTCAGTAGATAAAGAAAGACCTGTAAGTCATAAAGTAGATATTAGATCCTACCTGAGTGTAAGGTTTCAACCTCATGAGTTTTTCAATCACTTACATCATCTCGGTGGCCATATAATACTGCTTTAGAGGCTGACCGTATTGACGTTCATGGATAGTAGGAAATATACTAACGCAAGATATAACACCCACAACTTCTATAGTATTCGTTCCGCGTAGACCAAAGACAAAGCAAAAGACAATATTTGATCGTCAAAATTACGAGGTATATTTTGGGACCAAATCGGAGTGCGAGATGATTGTCTAGCTGGCTAGGGATCGTGCACGAACGTGACACGACGGAGTACCCAATGGCTTGGATGCTTGGCCGGAAGCCTTCACCTAAACAAGTTGACTTAAACAGTGAGGGTCACCATTCAATGTTCAGTGATGAGTGCTGTGGTCAATAATCTTGGGGAATTATTTACCGATACACTATGCTGCAGTGGCCCTTCAAGTACGCTACCTGACTTGTAAGTACTGACAACGGAACATAAACCAAAGATTCCATTACTTTTAAATGTGCTTTGAAAATCAAGATGGTTGAATGAAAGAAATGTTAAGGTTTGTCGGAGAAAACACTGTAGTATTTGTTCGATTACTATGAGTGAATTGTAGACTCTGGTCATGTGTGTCTTACCAGTGCAAACAGGAAGTGCTGAATAGCTTCCCTGACTGATCGGATCCGTGCTCATTAGGACAAGTCTTAAGGCACTTAGGGCATCCTTATACTGGCGAGGGGTTCATTTGGTTGACATTTGCCTTGCCATAAGTTTGCCTTAATGTCATGGAAAACCACTACATAGTGTTCACAGCTGAACTGGTCAGTAGCCATTGTTGTACCTTGTTAGAGGTTCAAAGTTTGCTTCACAAGAACAATTTTTTCCAACAGTATCTACTATGGATATTTTTCAGTCCCCCTTACATGTAGAGATTACTTAGGTAACATTAGATTGTGTATGATTCTGAGGTCAATCCCACAATATGCATTCTTCACATTGGACATTTCATTTGTATTTGAAATCAACTACAGATGATTATTTGTCAGGAATCACATTAAATATAGCATGTGTATTTTAGAACGATGGATTTTCAAATTGTATTTAGTCTACTTTTCGTAAAAGCAACACAACTGCATATTTGTTTAAAGCTACAACGGTTACCACGACCGGGAAATAGTATCATGTCTCCCTTTATGTATTTGGCTTCATCTCATCATGTAGACGTATATATTCCTGTAAGTCGTTTAAAATTTCTTGGTATAATTCACTGACTATCAGAAAATGTCGACATTTCTACATTTCTTCAGCTAAATGCGTTATAACCCACTCATCTCAGTATTAAATGTTTGAATTTCCCTACTGAAGGTCGTTTCTTATTAAATTTTGGTGTTTCACTATAGACACTATTAGCAGTCTCAGTTCACAAGTACCTAAAAGACATCGGATTATCTATGTAATAATCGTTTGAATTGATGTCGATTTTTGAGAAGCAGATGTGTGTATTGTATATCTGCCATGAATATCTGGTGTCGTTTAATGAATGAATACATTTGTAAAACTAATTAGCTGGTTGAAACATTCGACGGTTTCAAGTTATTGGTTACTGTATCACTGTCGAGATTATAAAGTGAAGACAAGAAACGAAATTCAGTTTTCGAGAAAATAAAAGTAAAATTGTTAAACTTCCCATGGTATTATTGTGAATTAGCGTATTAGTTGTTTTCGAAGCCGCAGTCGTGATCTGCTGGATATAATGGACCAGCAGTAGTTACTAAGGTAGTTAAAACAAACGGTACCAAAGATTAGTGGTCGATTTTTGTTTGATAGTAGATGATATATACGTTGGGTGAAGGCTACCCCCAAGCTGAAACACTCAGAAAATTCAGTATTAGCCTGATGTTCATAATGTACATCCGAAATTTAAATTATTGCCTGTGGATTGCCTGTTCATAGTACCGTGTAATAGTATAGAATAACCAAGTTCATGGTGTTTGGCAAATCAGTTACCTAAACAATTTTTTTATTTTTTTGGGAGGTGAACTGTACTAACCTGGTGGTAGGTTTTTTGTGCAAACAAAATCCTTGAAACAGATGTGCGTGCACAGCCTCGAGCAGAGGTTCTACAGGTGACACTAAAGATGCTTTCAAATACAACAGAAGGCAACTGAAACAAGGAATCAGTCATCTGTGCATATCCACATTCAGGTTCCGTCTTATCATTAATTATCTACCTTGGCGGCTAGGGTGGCTGAGACCCAAATGGAGTGGATGCTGAAGAAATATCGTCATGGATAAAAAAGCCCAGTTTGGTGCTTGCCTACTTGTCATCTCTAGCGTAGATGTGATATCCAGCTGTCGACCTAAGGGCGTGTGTACTGCTAAGCAGTCCTCTTGGTCCTGCTTCATGATTGTGAGACATGACCATTGAAAGTGAAATTATGAAAGGGCTAGCTGTCTTTGGTCATAGGTATTCGTGTTCTGTCTCCCGTATTAAGTGGTAAACAATGGTGAGTAATGAGGTTAGGTGTCTAATGTTAGGTAATGAGGGAAGGTTAATCTATGAGATTGTGAGACTGAGATGGCTAGGACATATGCTACGTTAAGCACGCCTAACCATCAGCTTCCTGGTGGACACTGTTAGATGACATAGGAATAAGTTGGAGAAGAGTTGATGGTGGTTAGTCTAAAAAGTAGCATTAGTCTTTGCAGCATTTGACACTTTGTTTGGGGCAGCCACATAGGAAGTTGTATACTACCTGTTTGGGATCGTTGGAATGCTAAGAGCCAATGGTTAGGAATTATAGATGTAGCTCAAAATCGATCTTAGATACATATATCCATTCACTCTTTGTCATCTATATCCATAAGTTCTCATGTTTCTGCATGTTATTATTCTTCCTCTTCATTCCTGCTCATTACAGTTCTTTCAATTTTTATTCCACTTTTGTGTGATTTGTAGAGTGTGGTGACTTGAACTGCTGCACTTCTGTGCGGAGTTCTTCGTTGACACTCAGTCAATCACTTCTTTGCCTTCGAATTTTTTTATCTCTAATAATATATCCTCACTTTTTGAAAAACTTGTCTGTAACCGACGCTGGTAGTTTAAGTTCGTGAAACAACATGGCAAATGTAGTCATCGTTGGGGGGTGAATTTTAATTTACAAATAAGGAAGTTAAAGCGTACTGACGTGATAATTTTACAGTCAAAAGTCTCAAAAGTGGTTGTGTTCGCTTGCCACAATTATCTACATGATTTGTTCTTGATAAACATTTGAAAAGCGGCAGAGATTGTCCGATATTACGAACTTTGAATCAAGTGATGGACTCAAAGCACCATGTCTTCAGTTATTTTCAATATAAGATGTGTTTTAGGTAGTAACTACGTGATAGTCTTTGTGCACATTTATTTGGAGGATTTGTAGTGACAATGTTTCTTTGCTGTTTGAATTCTTTATTTGAACTTTTTGGATTGCCGGTCATTCACTGCTATATAATTATCTTCTAGACTTTATTAAGAGGTTTATAAGACCTAGTAAAAAACAAATAATAATGTATGACACGTACAAGTAAAACAAAGACCTGGACTTCTGTAGTTAATATATATATATATCATGCAAATGTGTTTGATAACCTGGGGGCAACATTCATCTCAACTAATCCCATTAGATGTTTTACTTCGGCTATCTCCTACGGAGGATGAGCCGGCTTCATGAACATCTCGAATCGTTTGTAAGAGAGTTCATGAAGTTTCATGGGAATTTGGTACGAGTGATGTCCCCAGAATCGCTCGGCCTTTTGTTTGAGAGTGCAGCTCTAGCCTTTACACAACCAAGTGTGACCTACAAGGCAGTAGGAGTGGAGTAGGGAGTCCACTATCCATTGGCAGCCGGTGACCGGAGTTCGGTTCATACGCCTTTTTGAATGGGGCCAGACATCCAGGACATCCGACAAGCCCTTTGTCCATACGTCTGCCGGTGAGCTCCAGTGAGCTTCATACGCCAGTCGTTGGAGGTTTGAATCAGGGTTTAGCCATCTCCCTAGACTGTCATCCAATGGACAGTCAACCCGGTGAAGAGCGCCGGGCATCCGCTTTCGCCCTCTCACTTTGGTGAGAAACACCTCCGCCACGTGAAGGCAGTGAGTAGGACTTCCTCAGGAGAGGCTATGTAAGACGCCCGGTCATATGGGAGCATTTCAAGAGGTGTGCGGAGGGGTGGCCAACCCGCAGCGCAAGGCACCCACCCCCGACCATCCTGAGGCTTTGGAGGCCCATTAGATGTCCGTTTTACGTAGTGTTCTTCAGCTCCATATTGGACATGCTTATGTAGTTTTATATTTTCTTATCCGAATCTACAGGAGACCAATGACCCCAAAACAGTTACGCTAATTAACGTCGAATATTAGGTGTCTTGTGAGGCGATGGGAATCACAGTCTTCTGAACACAGAAAGAAACCAAATATGGATCATAATTGTCATCCATACGTAAATTGTCTGTATATATGTCACATCTAGCTATAGAGAGTAAAATAGTTGGTCGAAGCTGTAATTTTATTCGCCAGTGATTTCTGTGTTGGATTAATGATGCCTATCGCTAATTCTCACCGTACGGCACAGGGGGATATATCCTATCGACCATTATGAATAATGCTAGACAGTGCTCTATATCCTTCATTGTCGCCGTTATTAGAGGTGATGAACATTTAAAGTTTTCAGCCATTTGACCAACGTTTCCTCTGTAGTATTGTCTGTACTCAGTTAAACCATCATGTGGGCGGTGGAAAACTTAGGTAGTCTTGGGTATATCAGGTAAGTCAGTTGTAGAGTTTACGAATCTGTATCACTTGGGTTTATTCAGACATTTTACGCATGCTTACACCCTCTACCTCTATGTGCTGTGGTAGCAGGAGTAGGAATGTGTTAGACTTTTAAGATTAAGCTAATGACTTAGTCTGATATGTGTAAACAACTACAGGTTGTCCAATGGTGTCTCCGTGACCTTAAGAACTAATGAGGTGATATGGCTGAGACTCGATTGCAGTGACGCATGGATTGATGTCTTAGGTTTCTCTGTGAAATACTACTTTATTTGCTTTGTCTTTTCCACTCTAGTCTTATATCACATTTAGTTATTTGCATTTCTACCTCTCTTTTTATTATCTACTTGATTGCTGATATAAGATATAGCGAACTGAACCAGGTCCTATGTTGATAATGCTCGCCTGCTAACGCAGCCAGAAGTTTTCTAGCAGTGTTATGGATCATATACTGCTAGTGAGATATTATAATATCTCTTGATAGAAGCAGCCAAACACTACCTTCAGTTCGTCGATTATAGCCAGTATCGACATTCGTCAGATGTCCTTTTATTACAGAATGTGGCAAAGTATAAAAATTTGATTGGTGCACTCACTGGTAGATATTAAATCGAATTGGTTTCCTCTGGCTTGATATCCTGAAACAATCAGGTGTTTGCAGGACATAGGATTTAATTTATTGGAGTTAATGTCACTTTTGTTATCAAATGAATTTTGTTTCTGGAAGGCTAAGACAACCGAATGGAACTATTCGGAAAGAATCATGTGCGGTGTTTACGCTAATTGATTTTCTTTCTATCTAAATCTCAGATGAGTTGCAACATATTGACTGTTACCTATCATCCATGCGTTAACCACTCTGAGTTATTCTATTAACCATTGCTTACTGTCGTTTCGTAAACATTTTATTAATCTGTTTGTTATTGGTTCCATGTCATTCTGTACATTCTGTTAAAAAGCGTTCCCACGAAACCCATAATTCGAGCTGATTGTGTCGTTTGTGGTTAGTAGCATAGATATGTGTTGACTCAGTATTCTTTTCTACGGTTTTCAACAAAAAGCGTTCCATTTAGATTCGCAATACTTGTTTGTCCATATGGTATCCTGTACTCATCCCCTCTCTCTCTGCACATTATATATATATATATTATTATTATTGTTCCCTTGGGTTCCTAGTGGAACATAGGGCTTCAACTGCACGTCTCCACTTGCTTCTGTCTTCTGCTGTACTTTTCACTTGCGTCCATGTTATTCCATACTGTTTCATCTCCTCCTCACACGATCTCCTCCATGTCACCCTTGGACGTCCCACTCGCCGCTTCCCTTTCGGGTTCCACTCGAGGGCTTGACGCGCGATGTCACTCAACGGCCTCCTCAGCGAGTGTCCAATCCATCTCCACTTCCTCCTGCATATTTGTTGGGCGATTGGTTCCTGTTTCGTTTGTTCCCATAGCTTCTTGTTTGTGATTCTTTCTGGCCATCTAATCTTCAGTATGGAGCGAAGACAGTTGTTGATAAAGGTCTGCAACCTGTTGGAAATATTCTTGGTGACTCGCCAAGTTTCTGATCCGTAAAGCAAAATTGACTTCACGTTTGTATTGAAAATCCGAATTTTGTTGTTGATGGTGAGTGACGAAGATTTCCAGATTGGTTTCAGGTTGATGAATGTGTTTCTCGCCTTCCCGATTCTCGATTTGACATCCTCGTCCGTTCCTCCTGTGGTTGAGACAATGCTCCCCAGATAAGTGAAAGAAGTAACCTCTTTCAAATCCCTCCCGTTGATGGTGATTGGCACTGGATGTTGCTGCTGTTGTTGGTTGGTTATTTTCATGACCTCCGTCTTGTCTATGTTCACCTGGAGTCCTGTCTTTGCTGCTTCTTCGACCAGTTTGTCGGTTTTTGCTTGTAAGTCTTCGATTTTGTGTGACATCAAACATAAATCATCCGCAAAATCCAGGTCTTCTAGGTTCTTCACGTCGGTCCAGGATATCCCTGTCTTCTCGTTTCCCACTGTCTGACGCATAATCCAGTCCACCACAATTAGGAATATCATTGGTGATAATAAGCACCCTTGTCTGACTCCTGTGTTTACTCCAAACGCTTCGCTGAGTTTTCCGTTGTGGACCACTTGACATGTGCCGTTGTCGTACAGTTGTTGAATAAGGTTGATGAATATTTGGGGTACGCCGTAGTACTCGAGTAGTTTCCAAATTACTTCGCGGTCAACGCTGTCGAAGGCCTTCTCAAAGTCTATGAAGTTGAGGTAGAGATTTGATTGCCATTCCATGCTTTGTTCGATGATAATGCGTAGAGTTGCAATTTGGTCAGAACATGATTTACCTTTCCTGAATCCAGCTTGTTCTGGTCGGAGTTCTGTATCCAGTGCGTCCTTTATTCTCTCCAGGATGATGCGACTCAGGATTTTACTTGGCGTCGACAGGAGCATGATTCCTCGCCAGTTCTTGCAGAGTCCCAGGTCGCCCTTCTTTGGTAGTTTCACCAGGTAACCTTTCCTCCAGTCAGTAGGCACCTTTCCCTCTTTCCAGATCTTTTGCAATAATGGAGTCAGCATATCTGCTGTCGTTTCTGGGTCCGCTTTCAGTGCTTCCGGGGGTATTCCATCTGGTCCAGCTGCTTTTCCAGTTTTCAGAAGCTTGATTGCATTCATGACTTCAGTTTTCGTTGGAGGATTGGTGTCAACTTGCAGTTGTGTACGTGCTGTTGTCGGTATTACTGGACGGGTTGTAGGTGGTGGTCGATTCAAGAGTCCTTTGAAGTGGTCCGCCCATTGTTTAATCTGTCTTTCTTCTTTGGTAATTGGGTTCCCTTGGCTGTCTTTTATAGGTTTCACTTGTGTTGATCTCTTCCCGGATAGAGACTTGGTTATCTGATATAGTGTCCTCAGGTCCCTTTTGCCTGCTGCCTTCTCAGCTTCAGTAGCCAGGTTGTCGTAGAATTGTCTTTTGTCCTTCCTGGCACTCTTCTTCACTTTTTTGTCCAGTGCTGTGTAAGTTGAGTTCAGCGTCTCTTTCTCTCGTCCATCTTTGCATTGAATCATTTTTTCTTTCACCTTTCTCCTCTCCTCTATTAGTTTCCAAGTGTCTGTTGAGAGCCATTCCTTGTCTTGTTTCTTCTTTCTTCCTAAAACCGTTGAGCACGTTTCGTTGAAAATTACCTTCAGAGAGTTCCAATGGTCTTCCACGGATGATTCCTCAGTGGTGCCACGTAGTGTTTCCTGCTTTGCTCTGACAGTTGCAGTGAAAGTGTCCTTTGTGGTTGTGTCCTTCAGTTTGTGAGTGTTGAACTTGCATTGTGGCCTATCCCCAGCTATCCTCGAGGCTTTCAGCTTCACCTTGAAAGTCCCTTGTACTAGATAGTGGTCTGAACCCACATCTGCTCCTCTCCTCGATCTTGTGTCCAGTAGGCTCCGTCTCCACTTCCTTGAGATTGAAATGAAGTCTATCTGGTTTTTGGTGTGTCCATCTGGTGAAATCCATGTTGCCTTGTGTATATCCCTGTGTTTGAACACACTGCCACCAATCACCAAATCATTGAAGGCGCAGAAGTCTGAGAAGAGTTCGCCATTTTCGTTCATTTCACCGAGGGCCTCACGACCCATGGTGAGTTCTCTTCCTGTATTGTCTCCTCCCAGTTTCGCATTCATGTCGCCCATCAGGATTTTGATATCGCTCTTTGGGACGTTGTCCATTACTGTTTGTAGTTGGCTGTAGAAATCCTGCTTCTTCTCATGTTCTGAGGCGTTTGTAGGCGCGTAGCACTGAATGATTGTAACCCTTTTTCCTTTTGAGTTGAACCTGGCTGTCATTATCCTGGAGGAGATTGGTTCCCACTGCATGAGAGCTTTAGCCGCTGTTGGTGACATCATGATGGCTACTCCCTCGGTGTGCTCGTGATTGTCCTCTGGGTGACCGGAGTAGATTATTGTCTCTCCAGTTGATAGTTGGCTCCTTCCACATCCGTTCCATCTGCTCTCGCAGATTCCCAACACTTCTATTTTATATCTCCTCATTTCTGCAGCTACCTGAGCAGCCTTCCCAGCTTCGTACATTGTACGAACATTCCACGTCCCCATCCTTATTTTCGCTTTCATCGAAAGAAGGCACATCGGCTGACTGGCTTCCCGAAGGCTTTCACCAGCCTGCGTCATTTCACTTCCCCGATTCCAGCGAAAAATAAGGTCACTATTTGTAATTTTAGAATTTTGAATATATTTGTGCGTTGAAGTTTTAGTAGCAATTTGGTTAAGTTTTGGGGGTGGAGTTGCTAGCACCACGCCCCAACCCTCCCTCTTTATCCGGGCTTGGGACCGGCTAGAATACTAGTGACCTAGTAATCTAGGCGAGGTTATATATATATATATATATATATATATATAAAGCTAACGTAATTTCAAATCTTCGGATGAATATTCGCCTTTTCCAGTGACGTCAGGGAAATATTCTCAATAACTCCAATACATTATTGATTCTTGTTCAAATGTGGATACTGTCATTGGTCGAAAATTTTGATCTCTCGGCAGATTTCAATAACCGTAATATAAAGGTCCTATTTGAAGGTTTTATCTATCAGGCATGTGATCCTCTAGTTTCGAATGAAATGATCGAACAATCGAAGTTAACGGTCTTGGATTACTGTCATCAATATACTGCTATTAAATCGTATGCTATCTATAATGTCAGATGAAGATGTTTTCGTTGGAACTATTAAAAAAGTTCAAACTGAACTGATGGAACTAAGGCTTGCACATATTCGATTATCAGCTCAAAATTTCTTAACCAGTTATGGCTCTCGGGTTCTTTAATTTTATGTTTATATGGCCTTCTGTAAGTGCATAAAGAAAAAGTAACGTGGCGGCCAATTTTAAATAAATAATTGACTATATCACGCTTTTGTCAGGTGACAGAAATTATTTTACCAGTTATCTGAATAATCGTGGTGTGTGTCAGACTCATTTATATTCGTTAATCCAGTGAGTATCCAGATGAAGCCATGTCTTTAAATGTAACCTCTTAGTAAATGAATTACAATGAAAAATAAAACATGCCAGGAGATTTCTCATCTAACCTGTTTACTTTTAATGGAGTTCTAACAATGGGACTTGAAAGTAGTTAATACCTGTTGCCTGTCATTTATTTTTACGTGTTAAAACTTAACTAGATCAGTTTCCTGCATAAAACAGTACGAGCTAAAATTGCAGTTATTCGATTTATAACCAGTCTCCAAAGTCTTTTCTTTGCACATTGAAAACCTGATTAACTTTTTCTGTGATAAATGACTCATTGCAACGGGCAAGCTTGTGTGACCTATATAGCTCATTTTCTAATAGTTAACTGTGAAAACAGAAGTCATAGCACGTAAAAGGAACACTTTTATCTAACACTTGAAAAAAAGTCGCAGTCTTAATGTCACAATGGTTAATAAGATCATGATTTGTTCATGGTGTTTTCATTTTTTGTCTCTTTTTTAGAGTTTCCTGTTGTATTGATTTCAACTATCATTCTAATCAATGCTTTTGATCCATTCAATGTTACTGAGACATGACAACTGTTTTAGACGTCTTTGGACCTTCGAATGACGCCTGCTCTGTCTCTGTAAATAACGTATGCCAATTTACACCTCTTATTTCGTGTTCACCAAACAGTAATGACGAACAGCTGTGTGGCAAAAATGATTTGTTTCTTGCTGAATCAACTCATGATGAGTCACTTCAAAGGTCATCACCATCGTCCTTCAAAACACCTAGTAAAGAAGTTTCTTCCCCGGGATCATTTGAATTACCATCAATGCCGAGTGAAAAAAGTAGCTCTCGTGACTGTTCCGACGGACATTGTTCAGTAAACTTTTTAGTTTCTTCAGACTTAACTGATACCGATCGTTCAAACAGTGTATGCTCCCTTTCTCCCTGTGCACAACCAGTTGAACATTGTTCAAATACTAGTGATGACTTTTGTGTTCTTTGTCCAGAGGAATTGTTAGAAAGTGCCTTCGTCAGACCTATACGTGCAGACATGAACCATGTAAGTCGCTCCATTTCACACGAAGTTTCTATGAATTTCACGAGTACAAAAACGCCTCAGGACGCGTCGTTTCAAATCTCATTTCCGAATAATGAAAGCTCCGCTGCATTTAAATCACTTGCTTACAACGATTTAAGTCGTACCTGCCCACTTCAATACGAACACTACGGTAAGCCTCTTAGATCTGATTGTCAACAGCAACGCGGGACTGCTCCTCATTCTACTGTTATGACTGAATCATATGTTTTACCTTCAAAGGTATGTAATACAAAGGCTAGTTCTGGTGTTTTTGAGGCTTCAGACCTTTCTACTTCCCATGGTCATTCAGTTACGTATCCTATGAATTCGTCAACAAATTTTAACTCCCGTCAATTCAGTGATATCTATCAAAATTCACGAAGTACACCTAACCGTTTTTGTGTTCGAGAAAATCCTGTCCCTGTTTCAACATCTTTTTTCCCTTGTCACAATAAAGACGAGGTGTTTCATTGTCAAATAGATGTTCGTCTTCAAAGATCAAAATCTACCTTTGCATCGTCAACGGTTTCTCTAAATGCAGCTGACTCCTATACTTCCCAATATGATCCTGTCAATCCAAGAAACAAGTGTGTAAATAATTCTTTTTCTCATAATCGAGTCCCTGCTATTCCTGAAACAGAAAGATTAATAACTAGCTCTTTTGGCAAAAAACCTTGGAATGCGTGTTCTAATCCTAATATTTTATCATCTACACCTCACAACCCTTACGTTGAGCCAAGACAATTATTATTTAACCGCGGCCGTCATAAATACAAAGCAACAACTACCACTGCAACCACTTACCCCACTTACATTCATGATCAAAATGCAGCTTTGAGCCGCGACAAAATTCTACCAACTGACCGGAAACCTTTTATCAGCAGTTCAGAGTCAGGGCAGGATTGGAGAACTAGTGAAGCGAGTTCAGTAACCAAGACAGATTGTTTTCCAGTGTTTGAATGTCATGATTCTTCTGCATCCAAATACAAGCGTAAAGGTACAATTATGTCGGAACGTGGTGGTAAGCGTCATAGGTCATCGAACAAGGAAATGCCTGTTTGTCTTTCAAGTCAGTGTCCGGCAGATGTATTTCTGCGTTCTGTTTTATTACAGGATGTCAGTCGTTTTCTTCAAAATCCTGTACTTCAACCATCACTACACTTAAATGCTCCAACTCCTTTGCCATTATGTACTCAGAATAATTTCCCTGTTAGTAACAGTGATATTTGTTCTCGGGGCCAGAAGTACTTCCGTTTTCCATTTTCTCTATGCAAACCAGAAGAAAAACCTGTAGCAGAAGAGACCATTTTTAGGTTTTTGAGTCGGTATCCTGACGTTAAAGGGAGAACTGACCATTTAAATCAAGAAAATTTCTTGGTTGATGCACATCGACGTGCACTTGATAGGAATTTTAATTTTGTATACTTATCTCCCACTCCCGAGAGTCAGGTATCATCCTTCAACCTTTTAAATATAAATCACTTGTATGATCGCCATGCTGTAGACTGCGTAACTCCACCTCTCTCACCCAAAGTTAATGACAGATTTCAGTGTTCTACATCTGAGTTAATCCGAAACACCAAATGTGACCTGAAGTATCGTGAGGAGGTTGTTTTACTTGATCAGCTGGGTGGTAAAGCAAATAAAACCTGTTTTCATTGTAAAATGCAAATCATATTGCCCCAAAAGGCCATTATGTTTAAGACGCAAGATAAAGATACTTCCTTGCCAGTTTGCAGTTCTCGTTGTTTAATGGAGCTAAAAAAACAAGGGCCTAGTTATATAATGCCATCTGTTTCTGATGCAAATAGTTGTGATTTTCCTTTCACAGTTACTTTAACGAATGAATCTCATCCATTAACTGTATTTTTAGTAAAAAATATCTCTGCTAAGCGTCTAAAGCAAAATTCAAGGCGTCTTTCTCAGGATGCGAAACTGAATCATAGGCGAAATACAAATGACGTGTCTTACAATCGTTCATCTTTTGGAATTATTTCGTCTGTCAAACGTTGGCGCAACATGCGTTGGCGGAGATATACCAGCAAATCTTCATTGTGTTCATCTAATGTGTATCAAACGTTGCAAAATGCACCTGTGTTCAACAAAAACTGTTCTCTGCTGGAACAGAGTTCATGTAGTGACACTCGTGTATGTCATTTATGTCATCAGAAAGGAGATGGATCGAACAACGTAACTAGTAGGTTGCTTAATTACAATGCAGACAAATGGTTGCATCTCAACTGTATACTGTGGTGCTACGAAACCTATGAAACCATCGATGGTTCATTGATGAATGTGTCGTGTTCTTTAAAAAAAGCCTTAAAAACTCACTGTACTCATTGTAATGATCTTGGTGCAGGCTTACCGTGTTTTGATTCAGATTGTCAAGCTATATATCATCTTCCTTGTGCTTACCAAATAAACTGTTCATTTCATCCTGATCGAGGAATGTATTGTCCGTTACATTGTAGTAGTGCAAACAGTGTTCTCTGCCTTGATAGTTTGGCAGTGGAAAGGAAGGTTTTTATTTCACGAGATGAACATTCACAAGTGGAGAGAATAATTTCAGATGAGGATAATTTAAGCATAGTTCAAAATACCGAAGGATCTAAAGCAAAACTACGTGTTGGGACACTGATACTACATAGAGTAGGACAGTTATTACCCGAACAATTGTCCAGTGGTTTTTTCCATACCAGTAATTTTATATATCCCGTCGGATATTGGAGTACTCGGATTTATTGGTCATTTCGCCATACTGGTCGCCGTTGTCGTTATGATTGTCGAATTGACGATGTGATACCATCTGATGATCAAGATGCATCACATTTAAAGTCTGTTTTAGTCAAGTTTACTGTCGAAGTTATAGAGCCAAATGAGGAGAATATATACTTCGAAGACTCAACATGTGATGGTGTTTGGCAAAAGATATTAAGTCGCATAAATTTATCCCGAAGACGTTCGTCATTTCTTCGGATATTGCAAAGTAATATTCAAGGTGAGGTGTTATTTGGGCTCACAGAACCACACGTCGTTCGTGCTATTGAATCTTTACCCGGTGTTGATCGTCTGAGCAATTACCTGTTTAAGTTTGGTAAAATGCAGTTAATCCAAGAGATGCCTTTAGCAATTAATCCTACTGGATGTGCTCGGTCTGAACCAAAACTCCGTACATATATCCGGCGAAAGCCTGCTGGAGAAATCAACAGTTGTCCCTATATTACTCATAATCATGTTACTCTTGAGACTCCGGGTCCTTCCTACAATTCAGATGTTGGAAGTCCTACTTATCTGAATTCTCAATCTCCTACTATGACTAGTAAGTCGCAGCAATATCGGCGATTACGATGGGAGTGGAAAACAAATGTTATCCTGGCTCGTTCACGAATCCAAGGGTTGGGACTATATGCTGCTCGTGATTTAAGCAAAAGTACATTCATTATTGAATATTTAGGTGAAATCATTCGTAACGAGGTAGCTAATCGCCGAGAGCGTTTATATGAATCACAAAATCGAGGAATATACATGTTTCGAGTAGACGATGATTGGATTGTAGATGCAACTATGTGTGGAGGATTAGCTCGTTATATTAATCATTCTTGTGATCCAAATTGTACCGCGGAAATTCTTAACTGTGATAATTCAAACCATATAGTGATAATTGCTAGTAAAAACATTGAAAAAGGTGATGAATTGACCTATGACTACAAATTCGACTTCGAAGAAGATCGCCGAGATAGGATTCCATGCCTATGTGGTTCAGCTAATTGTCGAAAATGGATGAACTAATAATAATAACCTCTAAGGTTGTGTTTCTAACAACACCACTTTAATTTCATTTCTGTAAAGTATGAATTTGCGCCCATATTTCTCTCATTACTTACATTATCTTCTCATCTTATATTTCTTTGAACATACCTAGTTCATTTTTGATTTTCAAATCAAATGTTCTTTCAGATATTTCTTTGTTTAATTTTGTTCTCACTACACAACTTAGCCGACGTTTTGTATAGATATGGTTGCATTTTTTTTGTCTTTGCACTATGTGATATTCTTTCTGATGTATTACTGCTGATTTAATATATTTAGTTCTCTTAATTAAATTTCAGATTTACATTGTGTACATACTGGTCCTTTTGGATCTGTGTATAAAACATTAATGTGGCTGTGGGCTATCATTCACTTGAGGCTAATGTGTATAATATCTGTATCATATTTTCCAAAGTTATTTAATAAAAACACAATGTTCCATGATTATCAGTGTTTTTTTTAACTTTTGTTTGATGTTTGAGTGTTTTGTTTGCTTCCGTATAACAATTTTTTCTTATCTGCATTAGTATTTGTGATATATTTAATTTGAAATAGAAGTATGTTCTGTGGAAAAGGTGGAGAAGTATTATGATATATATGTTTAGACATGTTAGCGGTAGCATTTTCATTAACTGAATAATGTTCATTAAATTTATCCACAAAAAGTTTGAAAGCGATTATACTCTACGGCATAGAGGTTTCGTGTGGTTTTTAAACTAAAGGCGGAAAAAAACACTTACATTGTCGATCATCATATGTAATTCGTCAAATGTCCAGTCATTCAGATTTCTCATTCATTCTACAGACAACTAACTTTTTGGCGAATTCTGTACTTTATTAAGTTTGTCTTTAGATGGCTATCTCAACCTTTGTGATATATATATATATATATATATATATATATATATGGCTTTAAATCGTGGACTGTCGCACACATGAATTAACTCCTTGTCACTTTTCAGCATATAAAGAGGCCTTATAATTGTTCTCTTTATCCCACTCATTTCTGTTTATTTTGGGTATTATTAAGTCCCTGTTAATTTTTTTTCAAGTCTACGATGTGTAGTCAACGTTCTACTTCGATTCACCAGTCAGTGACATCATCCCAATCATAATATGTTTCATTTGTTAAATTTCGTCATGAACAATCATTATTTAGAGGTCTTTGGAAATCAGGGAGCACTGGACAGGTGCTTCATCCTATTTCGGAGCTCTTGAACAGTGCGCACCTACAATCTTATCAGACCCAATTTGCTGGATGGTTAACGAGCTTGGTCTTGTAACCTGAGGGTCCCGCGTTCGATTCCCGGTCGTCAGTGTTCATTGCTGAAGGGTTCCAAAATAGGATGAAACAGCTGTCTAGTTTCTAATGATCTCTAACTAATGTTGGTTTGTGAAGAAGTCTGACAAATAGAATTATTCCCAATCCCCACAAGTCCTAAAACCTAAACGTCATGTGTTCATCGTTGATTAACTTGCTGCGTAAGTTTCTTTATTTTTAAGATATGTTCCAGCGATACTTTTCCGTAACATCAATTCAATTTCTGTATTATTGAAGATGAAACACTCGTGTCGTTAGTACTGAAATGCTTTGAATGGTAGTGATAATATTTATTTTTTGCATTGAATTACTTCTGAAATCACATTGTTAACTGGTTGTACTTTTTTTTACGATGAGATTGCTGTATTATAAGTTGTCCAGAGATCTTTCTTTTATAACTTCTGTCCTCCAGGATGACATGTTTACTCATGTACAATGAGTTGTTCGTCTTCAAGTTCCAAGGACACATTGTCCAAAAAATGTCTTATTTATTTATTGACGTTTTACATCATAAATTAACATTCTTGTCAGTGTATGAAAGAAATGCTGGCTACCTCGTCAAACTGCCAAAGAAGGGCAAATTAAGCCGCTGCAAGAACTGGCGTGGAATAATGCTCCTGTCCACGCCAAGTAAAGAATGCACTGGATACAAAACTCCGCCCGGAACAAGCTGGATTCAGGAAAGACAAATCATGTGCTGATCAAATTACAACTCTACGCATCGTCGTCGAACAAAGCATAGAATTGCAGTCAAACCTCTACCACAACTTCATCGACTTTTAAAAGGCCTTCGACAGCGTTGACCAAGAAGTAATTTGGAAACTAGTTTGGAAATCTTCCGCACTCGGCATAAGGAACAAGATTCATATTTTCAACACCAATGTGAAGTCGGTTCTTCTATACGGGTCAGAAACTTGCCCAGCGTGTCACTCACGAAAAGGATTTCCAACAGTTTACAGACTTTCATCAACAGCTTCCCACTTCGCTGACTCCATACTGAACACTGAGTGGCCAGAAAGAATAAGCAACAAGAAACTATGCGAACAAACCAAAAGGCGAGAGCTGAGCTCAACAAATGTGTAGGAGAAAGTGGAGGTGGATCGGGAATACATTGAGGAGACCGCCGAATGACATTGCACGCCAGACCCTTGAGTGGAATCCCAGTGGGAAGCGACGAGTGGGTCGTCCTAGGGTGACATGAATGAGATCGTGTGAGGAAGAGATGAGAGAGTTTGGGCAATCGTGAACCCAGCTGAAGAGGACGGCAGAAGAAAGTGGAGATGTGTTGTTGAAGCCCTATGTTCCACTGGGAACGCTTTTTAGTCGTAGAAGTATTTCTTATTCTGTTTATTCCATACAGAGATGAAGTTTGTTATCATCTGTTGTCATATTCAGATTTACGAATCTACTGAATAGTATTTATCTGGGTTACAATTCTAGCAATCATCATACTGTCGCCTCAACTCCCACGTACTTAATCTTACTTTGTTAAGGTTTTAAGCGTATTTATCTTTATATACGTTTAAAATTAATTAATTTACTGGTCTTGTGAAGTCAGTTTCATCTATGTGTGGTTGATCAAAGTCTTGCTTCCAACCGCATTACGGTATACTTTACTTTTTATCTTATGTTCAATATTTACTGTCATTCACTATTGAACGAAAAAGACTGGGGCTTTTCACATATAGAGTTCGCATTATTTCTGTAAAATTATCGCAGTTGTGTATTGGTTACTTCACTTTCTCAGCGTAAATATTGGTGAAAATTAGCCTATTAGGTGTAGATTAATAATGTTAACTTTAGCTGCTATTGCACAAGTCTGTTAAAAACTATCGTCTGCAACATAGCATATTTACACCTCCACAGTTTGACATGGTCTCGACTCGTATTAATGCACTTAAATGTTTGATTGAGTTAACATTTATTATCCTAAAGACGTTTATTTAGTAAAATTAAACTGAACCGACTCTTCCTGAGCTTCTCTTTGTCCCTGCAAATTTCTTTTACATGTTAACAAATATATTCTTCACTGTTTATTCATGCAAATGTATAGGGCGAATTAATTTATTTTTAGAGAATAACCAGTTGAATTTCACTGTTGAAAAATTTGAAAGATAGTGTGATTCAATATAAGGAAACTGGGAAGGGGGTATTTTCAGAGTAAATAAACAGTGGTCGTATAGTTTGTATGTTTCCTTGTGAAATCATACAACTATGTAGACTACTAGTCGTTTGTGTGCATCACATTGTTCTCTATTTAATGATTCCTCTGATTCATTGATAATGGTCCTGTGCAGTTTTCCATTTGATTGTTTGCTTTCACATAAAGTTATCTGTTTTAGTTAACAGAATGCCAGATTTGAGCGGTAGTAAAAGCTCTACAAAGACTTTGGCACCTACAAAGAGACCTGCCATAAGAAGTTCAGACAAAACCAGTCATTCTTCAAGTTCCAGACCAAATGAAAACAAGTATACCCATTCTAAAGTCTCTCGAAGTCCACCCAGACGGCGTGCTAGACGTAGTCATTCTTCGACATCCAGTTCTTCAGACTCTGGTTCTTCATCATCTGATTCTGACTCAAGCTCCTCTTCGTCTTCTGGCACATCTAATTCCTCCAAAGCTTCAAAGAAATCTAATCGTGGTTCAGGTTTGTTTAGTGCCACTTTCATTTTTATGCACGTTATAATCTGCTCGGTAGTAACCAAATAAGGTAGCGCTTTTTACCAAATGAATACTAATTAGGTTAATTGTATGTGAAGAAGGCATACATTGTCTTTCCGTACGCTAACGCACTGATGTAGTCATAGTACTTTGATGTTTCTCATTAGATTTTCACCAACTTGTTTTCATTTTTTATAATAACTAAACAATGAAGAAAAGAACTGTTAATATATTAAATATAAAAATATGATAAGTTGTGGGCGTTACGTCTGTGTGACATTTCTAATGCTAAATATACTAAATTAAAGATCATTCTGCAGAATTGTGGTAGGTAGGCTAGTCCATAGATTTTATTTGTTTAAATGAAGTTGTAAATAGTTAAAACCATCAAGTTGCAGGTATCATATACATTACATATGTGGTAGAGAGTTTACTTGTTAACACATTTTGCTAGATCAATATACACTTAATGTATAAAGATACTAATAATTTTAGAGTTGTATTTAGTTTTCTAGTTTCTTAACAGTTAGTATCTCATTCTTTCTTAGTTGCGAGTAACTTCTTTTCGGTTAATACCAACGTCATAAATTTGTTTCTCTAGTTGAATATTGTTTTCTCACTACGCAGTTACCCGGGACACATTATTCATGTTCCAGACTATGAACCAAACATATTGTGTGAAGACTGATGATACTACCCAGTTGTTCTAGTCTGAAACAAGTGAAGTGGGATTCGATCCGAACCGACGCCCTGAAAACCATGTGCTGAAGCCAATCCACCACACTTTCACCTGGCTAAATATTGGTTATATTCTTTCTACCTTTACGTGTTTAAAGTTGATTACTATGCAAAAACTACCTAGTTGAAGTATGTAAGTAGATTTTGTGAAAAGCTAGATTTCTTACTTTATCGGTTCAATTGGTAGTATGTTACACATCAATGCCAAAACTGTGAATGAAATTCTTTAGTGAAGATTTGAAGTTCTTTGTCACAGTAGTAAATACATACATTGTTTAACTCTTAATTACTTATTTAATAGCACTGATTACCTTTAAATTAATCCTAAAACCATATAGGTAGCACACTTTGCTCGTATTCATTTTACATTCATGAGAATATGACAATATTTATTGGCTTTAATTAACATTAATTCCAAAGGCTTATATAACTATTTTTAACAATATTTCTAATGATTTCAATCCTAAATTAGCTATGGATGTAAAGAATCCTAACGAACGCCCTCATGTATCCAGTCAAACAAGTTCTGCTCAGTCAAAAGTCAACGACAAAACGGCGTCTCATAAATTACCTGAATCTTCTGAGTCAAAGAAGAAGCTCAGTTCACTGACATCAAAAGATGAACCTACTAAGTCTGATTCAAATGCGAAACCAAGTTCAACGGATCATGTTAAGGTTTCTGACACCTCTGGGGTTGCAGGGTCTACACTAGCATCTGCACAAAAATCTGATGAAAAAGTGACCGATACTTCTAAAACCCGAAATCTTGATAAATCTTCACATAATCCACCTAAGTCAAACAAGGAGAACACTGTAGAAAAACCCGTTCCAAACAGTGACGCCCCCACTGAAGGTCAGTTCACTCGCATATTGGTCGAGAAGCTAACTAAAAATATAACAAGAGTAAGTGCTTAACTATTGTGGTTGTACGTGTGGATTTGTTCAGTTTTTCGAACCATGGCGTTTTCTAAATATGGTCAGTATTTTATCAACTTTAAGTGGTTCGTTATTCTGTATGTTTACAGGATTGAATGTGATTGCATGACTTCAAAATAGCGGAACTTCTTATCTTCAGGATGATATTAATCGTATTGTTTTATTCCTGAGGTTCAGCAGTAATGCCTACCACGTTGAGAAAAAAAGAGAAATGAGCATTATTATTATTTTCAAACTATTAAATCAGGATTGTTACGTTAACCAAATATAGAGATTTTTAATTTAAAATCACACCCAAATAAAATTTTCACTATTATCTGGTAAGGACAAGTTATACAGTAATAGTAATGTAGAATGTACACATTGTGTCATAGGAGTTATTAAAAAGACAATTGCAGCGAAGAAAATTTTCTTTTCAACGAAGTCATCATCTAGGCTGTACATTCGTGTATTTATAACTTTCCCATCCATTTGATATAAATACACGAATGTACAGCCTAGATGATGACTTCGTCGAAAAGAAAATTTTCTTCGCTGCAATTGTCTTTATAATGTAGAATGAACTTGAATCCAACTTTAAAAGAAACTTTGACATCAGATCACTATACCTTTCTGCGTACCATGCTCTAATTTGCTCCTATTGTTCTAACAAGTGTTATTATTTATTAAAACACAAACTGGGGTACATTGTGTGTGTATGATCCACATAAAATCTCATAGCTTCTGAGATGGCTAGGATGCTGTCTGGACTCTGAGACGGAAGCAAGTGATTATCTAGGGGGCCACCTCTGAGCCTTCGACTTGAAGTCTGATCCACAAGGCAGTGGGGGAGCATCAAGACCTACCTTTCTATAGTTTCTGGTACCAAAACGCTATCCTATCTGTTCGGATTCTGAAATCCATGTACACCATAGCTTTGGAATCAAGGTCCTCCAGGTCCCTTAGGTAGACGAGAATACCCACCAGTCCTGTTGTAGGCACCAGATGTTTACATTCTCCTTTCCAGTTTTGTGAGGAATGTCGCCGCCGCATGAAGTGAGTGAATAGGACTCATCTGATAAAAGCTATGTACTCATGACCATTTAGGAGCATTTCAACAGGGTGACCAAAGTCTACCCACCCTCAGCTGTACCAGATCATTTATGGGGGCGTTGTAACTGGTATTTTGTAGACCTCTCCTGTTAAAGTAGATCGTGTATTTGTTCATTTAATTGTGGTATTTAATCTGTAGGTGTTCATGAATTAATCAACTTGACTGACTGTCATATTATCAGCATTCGAAACCACATAAATATCAGATCATTAAAGTGGAAATATTATTTAATTTTTTCCTCTAAGGATAGTATCATGTGAACAGTGAAGAATTTATGCACACGATTTCAAATGACCATGAGGTTCTAAAGGACTAATTACATGTATCACTCGTTGCAATCATTCAGTCTGAAGAAAAACATTCCATGCATATAATGTGTTAATGTTATGTCTAAAGATAATACTGGGTTTGCGTTTATTCTTACTGTTAGTTCAACATACAGTATTATAAGAATGATCATTCTAATACCATTTCACCACTGAGAAAGCCTCAGAAAACTGACTGAGAAGCTGTCATGGAAAAGACAATAAGATAGTTGATTACAAAGTTATTTCAAATGACCGATATATCATTAATTCAAGATATAAAACACTATTTTGGCTAGTCAGGAAGTACGCATAGAAATCCAACGAAATGATTTTTAATCTGTGTTAGTGATTTTTTGATTTTTGATTACAGCTTGATTCCACACAATACTTTTTGGTAGATGTATGGAATTTTCAGCATGCGATATCGGTAGCCCAAATTTTGCAGGTCAACCATTGATATCAGGTGTGCGTCGGCAGCGGACCATGTGCATGATCGGCGAGAGTCCTAACCATTGTGCTACCGACGCAAAAATGTTTGGTTTGTGGATTACGTGGGGAACAATAAACAGTGTTATCCTCTGTCCTAACAGTCTAGGAAGTATTATCTGCTTCATCCAGAAATCATTACGTCTTTAGTTGACAGATGTTCGTAGTGTGTGAAATCGTTTTTCTTTTAATGAACTCTAAAGTACTAAAGTGTTCTACAAATAATAGTGGTTAACGAGTTTTATCATATCGTCTATATATATATTCAGAGGAGAAATATTACATTCGGAAATAACTTTTAAATTGTTTTTATTTTAGGCCCATATTCAAGAAATATTCTCTGTATGGGGTGAAATTCATTCGGTTGATCTCCCACCAGATCGTATTCATCCAGAATTCAATCGAGGATATGGCTATGTTGAGTATGTTGATGCTAAATCAGCCAATGATGCAGTTAATTTTATGAATGGAGGACAAATAGATGGACAAGAGGTTAGAGTTTCTGAAGTTTATTCGCGTCCATCACATACAAGCGATCGTGGAGGCCGATCGGATGACCGAACAAGCTATCAGTGAGTCAGTCAATTTTTATCAGTCATTTACTACAAGAAAATTTGTAGCGGTGTAATTCGCTGCATTTTCAAATTTTAGAAAATAATAGGAAATAAAGCCCAAACATTATAGTTCACTAGTTCATTTATGTTTGGTTAATTTTTTGTAACGTTTATACATGCTCACATTATACTTGATTCAATGTATTTTTGCACAGTGACATTATGTGTATCATTAGTATCTACTTGAAGTTATCACATTTATTAAGGGAAGAGATATTAAACAATTAGAGCATCCGGTTGTTGTGGTATTTTTCAGCTTTTGGGGATTATTTAAGCTAAGGATTATGTCTTACTGATTCATCTCATACTATAAAGCTAATTCTGATTCATTGCTGTGTCAAGAAGATTGGTAATGAGGCGAAAGTCACATATGAGTGTGCTCAAGGTTTTTTTATAGCTGTTACATCTTTTTATTTGTATTATGCTTTATATATTTTTTCTAACCTTTTTTCTTAATTTATTCAGCAAAAGTAGACATGATTCATCTAGACATGGTCGTGAAAGGTCACGTAATCGTGATGAGCATTCTTCTAAAGGATTAAATGATTCCATTGAGCACAATCGCATTAAAGAAGATTCTACTAAAAAACATTCGTCTAGCAATCATTCACGGACTCATGACAGACAAGATCGTTCGCGGATACATGAACGCATGGAAGATCGTGAACGTATTAAAGAACGTGAACGTGAACGGCCACGAGGTGGTCGCTCAGATGGTATGGACAAAGCAAAAACAACAAGACGTGGAAGTAGTGGCAGCCCATTTGCAAATCGTTCAACTGACCGCCCTCGCTCTCCTCCTGCTAGTTCGCGTTATCGTAGACCTAGTAAGTTTGTTGTATTAAAATGTGTTCTGTTCACATGACTGTCGAATTCACTAATTATGCATTTTGTAATCTAAAGTTTTGTTGAAATCCAAATGACTTTGAATTATAAAATGAATTTTCAATTTCAGGTCCTCCAGGTGCTCGAACATCGGCAAAGCGACCTAGGTCTCAAAGTCCTAAACAAAAATCACAGTTAGGATCAAGTCGAGATGTAAAGACTTCAAATACTAGTCATCATGATAGAAAAGCCTCATCCCGTTCATCATCCTCATCTTCTTCTAATTCAGGATCATCATCTTCCTCATCAAGTTCTGGTTCTGGTTCCAGCTCATCTTCAAGTTCGAGTAGTTCTCGTTCTTAACTACGATGTTTGTTTTATATCATGAAACAATAATGTAGTAAATGTGCTGTCTATACAAATGTCTGCATTTTTGTTGTACGTTTATAATCATATAACTTGGCAACATTTTATTCCCTTTGTCTTACAACATTAAAATTTTATTTTGGATTCACTTTCGCTTTTATTATCTGAAATCAGATATTTGTCTATTAGCAGAATATTTACAAAGTAGAATTTAAGTTCATTTTCTGTATTCTTCTTTAAGTCATCGGACTATTGTATTTCAGAACTTATTTGTTTCCTTAACTTTTGTCAAATGTAAGTCTAAGCATGAGTTATACTTCATCATCGTTTACTTTCATGCATCACTTACAGTGAATGAAGGAAAGAAATTGTTGCTAGCTCGAAGGATTATTTGCGAACTAGATACTCGGTTCTCTGCTGGTAACGACAGATCTCATGGAGTGCAACAGTTCCTGCATATATCTATACCTTCATGTTGTGAGTAACTAGTGCACTTTTACTTAAGGTCCTAGCTATTTTCTCTTTTGACGTTTTCCCACCATTGGATTTGCTACCAATGGGCTTAATTTTCACCACTTTATAATATCGTGGAACCAGTACAAACCTCCCCCTTTTAAATTATGATTAGAGTTGACAGAAGTGTGTGATAATGCTGAGGAGACATATCGCTTATACAACATCCGTTTCTGATCCTTGATAGTCTCAATGAAATGCTGGGTCTTAATTTAGATGGTAGGATGATTCGCCAATAATCCGGAGGTCGCTGGTCCCAGTCCTAACACTTTCAATTACTATCCTCTCTATTACCAGAAGAAGTTTGGTTGAAAAGTCTTCTATATTGATCTTACTTTGTACTGATCATTCACCTTATTCACGTAAAGTCGATGGTAGATTATGAAGTAATAGAAAAGATGGTTTTGGTGCGGTCACGTACTCCGAGCTGAATGGTTTAATTGCGACTCTTTCAGTTTTCCTTCTAGACAACATATTCAGTGCAAACTTTATATTGAAGTTTTTGGAACGAGCACTCGATGCATATCCATGTTTTGAAAGCAGTCTAATTTTCCGTTTTACCTTAATTCTTATTTATCGTAATATGACAGTTTTGATAACAGATTTAGACATATGATTTCATAGTTGGTAAGTTCTGTGTCAGGTGTCCTAATTCACATTTGATTGTATGGCACACTTGCTTAATGATATGAATAATATTGCTGTCAGTGGTGAATGAATACATATTTCCTTCCGCATATACTGTCATCAGATTGAAAATTTGATTTATGGTTTGATCGAATGATCTATGGGGAAGCCTTGCTTATAGAACAAGAAACTGTTTACACTTTAAATATTTTTCGACCCGCAGTTATGGACGCGTTAATGATAAGGATGTCATGATTATAAATCAGGGATGATTACGCAGAAATTTGTGGAGATTATTTAGTATATTGACTTATTATTTGATACAATAATCGATGAAAAGAGTCGACCACTTCTTCTGCATGCGTAGCAAAATTACTGGGTAAATGATGAAATTTAAACACTTGGAATCTTTATGGTGATCGATGTGAGTATGAGAAGAACGCCAGCTTTGTCTAATGTTATATTTTTCACAGTTGATACGATTTATCCTCCTTTGTTATCACTTCTAGGTTATGTTGTGTGGGATAAAGTGATTGTGTTGATACATAAGTGAAGCGATTCTGGGAATCACTCGTTCCAAATTCCCATGAAACTTCATGAACTCTCAGTACAGTCAAGGCTGATATGGAGTGCCTGGGGCTACAAACCGTCTACGGAATCCGTCTGTGGAACAAGAATTGGATAACCCTGTCGCAAAACCTTACATGAGATCGCCGCGCCTGGGCAGCGATGATTCGAGATGTTCATGAAGCCGGCTCATCCTCCCGTAGGAGATAGCCGTAGTGAATTGAAAATGAAATTAATTATTTTTAAAGGTGTCAGCATTGTAGTTGTGGTTCTGAAGAGAATACTCCATATATATCATGGGACAACTAACTCCGTTTGTTAGTCTAGAGTTTGAACGATTTCTAATGGGGCATGATATAAGAACTAAGTGTTTTGATAATTCATAAGTAAGGGTATTACTGAAATCTACTATTGGACGTATTGGGTAACCTGGCCTATGTATTTTAATAGTACCATACACTCTACTAGCATTATTAGTTTTAGGCATTAAATTAAACCATTTAAACTCACCTAGTGACTGCTTCATTCTGTGTATTAAATCCACTGTATTTTTTTCAACCTTATTGATTATTGTATCTACAGGCTTCTCAATTTCCTCATGTGAACCCGTCTCAATATGTTCAGTGATTTTCTTGATATAGTCAGATTTATCCAAAACTACTGTAGAGTTCCCCTTATCAGCTTTTGCGATGACAATGTTTTTATCCTGTTTTAAACTAAATGGAGCTAGTCTTCCCGGTTTTTTCAGTTTGATTTTGCTTTCTTTTGATTTTTCAGGGTTTACACACATTGTGCTCTAACCTCTTCTGCTATCGTCTTATCTATTGAACTTAGTGCTACTACACGAAAAGACCTAAATGATGAAATAAAACAGATAGAAGAAGCGTTGGTATCAAATAACTATCCTATAAAATTCATTAGAAAGATCAGAAAAGGCCAAAAGCAAAATAAAAATAATTGTAAAACCAGTACTGATAACATAAATAACAGAGAATATAAGACATCTACTGCGATACCATATAAGGAGGGGACATGTGAGACCCTATGTAGCATTCTTAATGAAGAAGGAATTAGAGTGGCATTTAAACCTACAAACCCACTCAGGGACAAGCTCTGATGGACCCAATTAGACAAAATAATATAATATACAAAATACCTTGCAATGACTGTGAGGTCAACTACATAGGTCAAACTAGTAGGTCGGGGGTAGTCAGATTGTCGGAACATAAGAATTTAGAATGGTTGACCCCGAGAAGATAAGAAAAAAGCTCAGCAACTGCACTGCATGCTTTAACACACAACCACACAATAGGGTGAGAGAGGGTTAAAATTCTAAGAAGTAATATTGGTAGGTGGAGAGAGAGATTGTTTACTGAATCCTTGTTCATCAAGTCTTCACCCAACACATGCAATAGGAATGACTCATCACTCATACCGGAAATATGGAAAATACTACTACCAATCAAATCAAGCGATGGAAAATAATTATTATATTATTATTATCATATCCTTTAATTCCTAGAGGAACATAGGGCTTCAGCCGTGCTTCTCCATTGAGTTCGGTTCTCTGCTAGAGTCTTCAACTGGCTCCATGTCTGCCCACACGTTTTCATCTCCTCTTCACATGACCTCCTCCAAGTCACCCTTGCACTGACGACCAACTCGCCACTTCCCTTTCGGGTTCCACTCGAGCAATGGCTTGTCTAGTGATGTCACTTGATGGTTTCCTAAGAGTATGGCCAATCCATCTCCATTTCTTCCTTCCTGCCTATTTGTTTCACAATCGGTTCCTGCTGTGTTGGTTCGCTCATTACCAGAGATCTCCGTTGCTGATCTTTTCTGGCCAGCCATCTGATCTTGAGTATTGAGCGAAGACAACTGTTAATGAAGGTCTGTAGTTTGTTTGAGATGCTCTTTATGACACGCAGTGCAAGTCTCTGATCCGTATAGTGAGTAGCACTGACTTCACATTGGAGTTGAAAATCCGGATGTTATTTTTGATGCTGAGTGCTTTTGACCTCCACACAGACTTGAGAGTAGTGAAAGCTTGTCTTGCTTTGATGGAAAATAATGGAATTATATAAATGAAGTTAGAAAGTTGTGTGAGTACCTTGATGTGATTATGAGCAGTAATAAATTGTACTAGAAATGTCATCAGTAAATATTACTGTATAACACTGTGAGACTTCATCACAATAAATTTTACCCATAATTGAATTGAGAATTAGTGGTTTGCAAAAGTTTTGGCATTGGGGAAGCGATATTTATTACTTTTCAGTTTCTACTGTCTTATGATTAAACAGTAAATCAGGATTGTTTTTATTGACATTCTCCTGTTTCTTGCTAAATAGCTTTATGAAAGTAATGGTAAACTGGAAATTTGTATGTGATACGCACTATTTAGCCGGCTGGATCAAACTATTATTCAATATTGCAACAGATCCTGAATATAGTTAGTGTTCCAGGAGATCTGTAATTCTTTCATTGTTAACTAAGCCATTACATTCTAGGGAACTGGTCATCTGAATACAGTATTGGCTTGGAACTAGACTTTGTGGAGATGTGGCTCCTTGGTTAAAGCACTCGAGGTACTGCAGATAGGTACTGGGTTTCCATCCCGCTATACCTACTTCAGCCTGAGCGACTCGAGTGGTGCTCACAGCCTCGAATGTGAAAAACCTCTTCCGGGAGCCGAGTCTGGCTGATTGAGTTTCAACATAGAACTTCCTACAGGAATGCAGCAGTTCAAGTTGCCATACCCTATAGAGCACACAAAGAGGAATTTAAAAGGAACAGCTACAATGGGAATCATGAGGATCTAATAGATCTATGCCACTGAAAACGATTTTGAGCCATATCACCTGGATCCAAGTGAAATTAGGTCTTAAACGAAAAAGAGACTGATTAAGATTTGAGAAATTCACCCGGTCCTACAAAAACTAATTACTAAAACCACTTCTAAGCGTCTTGTTTTTATTGGTGTTTTTCAGCTAAGTGTGTAAACACATATATGCTTCAGAAGTAGGTTTTATATTTTGCAAAAACGTTATATTGAATAGACACGCACGATCTGGTACAGACGCGGAATATATTGCATCATTTGAAGCAATATTGTTCCATTCAAACCATACTCCGTTATTTTGAGTTTTTCCTCAAAAATTTCCTAACAGTAGATTGAGACCTTTTTGAAGGTGTATATGAGAGTACAATATTATATGTTGAATTGATTGTGTTCTCTGAGCTGGTTGATTTAATTGCGACGCTTTCGTCCTCCTTCTAGACAACATCTTCAAAGCATGTTTTAGTATAAGATGGACTCATTTAAATTCTCCCTGAATGATGATGAGATACAATTAAATCATTTTCTTCTACATATTTGTTGAGCGACAGGCTCTTGGTTGGTTTGTTCCCAGTCAGAGTTTCTCCTTGCCAATTCTTTCCGGCTGGCCAGCCATTTGATCTTGAGTATGGAGCCAACGAAGCGGGAAGCTGTCGGTGAAAGTCTATAACTTGTTGGAAATCCTTTTCGTGACTCACGCGCAGTGCAAGTCTCTGACCCGTCCGTGTAGAAGAACTGAATGACTGACTTCACATTTGTGTTGAAAATCCGAATCTTGTTCATTATGAAGGCGTTTCTTGCCTTTCCGAATCTGGCTGGTTGGCTTTGACATCTTCATCTGTGCTATCCGACTACTGGTGGCTGAAACCGTGCTTCCTGACCAGATAATTGAAAAGCGTGATCTCCGTCAAATCTCTCCCTTTGATAATGATTGGTGCTGTTTGCTGTCGCTGTTGGTTTGTTGGTCTTCTTCATTACCTCCGTCTTCTCAATGTTCACTTGGAGTCCTGTCTTCACTGCCAGCCTCTTTAGTCAGTTTGTTGGTTTTCGCTTGCAAGTCTTCGAGTTTGTGTGACATTAGACATATATCATCCACACGTGAAATCTAGATCTTCTAGAGTCTTCTTATCTATCGGTCGTCCAACGTATTCGTGACTCCCCCCCCCCCAACAGTCCACCACAATTAAGAATATCATCGGTGACAATAGTCAGGCAGCACTGCCCTACTCCTGTATTCACGTCGAACGTTTCTCTGAGTTTTCCATTGTGGATCACCTGAGGTGTGGCATTGTCATAGCCAGCTGTTGAATGAGGTTGACAAAGCTGTGGGC